GTGTCTGCCCTCCTTCTTCTGACAAACATTTGAGTGTCCCATTGGGTGAAAGGTACGATGCTGGGGTCATGCAGGACACTGGGCTGAATAAGACCCTGTGACATACACAGAAGGACATTTAACGTCTGAAAGGAAGGAACTGGGGGAGGGGGAGGAGGAGAGAAGTGGAGCAGGTCTAATCCATCCTTTAAGGAAGTAGAAGGAGGCTGGGTGTGTAGTGGAAGGAGCAGCTCAGGAGTCACCTGGGTTAGGTGTGCCCTTCACACCAGCATTCTCAGTGCTGTGTTCCTCGTGAAACCTTTAAACTGTTTGTATTTTAGTCTCCTCTTCTGTAAGACTAGAACAATACCGTCCTTCAGGAAGCAGTCGGTAGATGTTAACTAGCGTTCTCTTCCAATGATAAAACACTGAGCTCCCTAATTTATCAGATGGCTTAAGAACAAATGAATCAAGAAATGTCTATGTATGGATGAATTTTGATAGAATCTGGATTTGGTACCTATTCAGGGTATAGCAAGTACTCTAGCAGGAGTGTGACCCATGGTGTTTCAACTGGGTGGGGACTACCTGCCCCTCTCATTTGCCTTTCTCTCTTTGTCCCAGTTTGGTGACACCCTCCCTTGCTCAGTCACAGGGTGGCAGTATTAGGACACCCTTCCATTTAATGCTAGATCTATCAACGTTGTAAAGGTCACTGCCAACCATCCTTAAGCAAGTTAATAAGCCACTAATAGTATGACTGTGAGTGATGAGCTAATATGATTTAAAGAATATGTATAAAAGTACATCTACAGCATAAATTTTTCTAAACACAAATCTAAATGTGTTTACCTTCCCCAGAAAACTGTCAATGCCCTTCTGGGACTTAAAAGTGGAACAAACCTCTCCCTACCCCCTCTTAAAAAATCTCAAATAGGGTTTAGTCTCTATGTAAGGAGACAACAGGCATGAGAAATGTATAATTATATGCAAAACTAAATTCAAACAGAAATGTAGCTTGTGGGCATTTAACCTTTTTCCTGTAATGTTCATCAGTTTGGTTATCTGAGTGAGATTCAGAATCTGAGAGATGAACATGGTCATTATGATAGCCAGCACTTTATATAAAAATCTTAATGACAATTTGGGGAACAAAAATTCCTGACAAATGAGCTAAATTTGATCTCAATTAGAAGAATGTATTTCATTTAGAAAACTTAGAAACATATTAACATATTTTATCCACACCCATTTATAAAATGATAACCTGAAATCTGGGGTGGAATTTACTAAAGGAATGAAACAAGGCCAAAAGTTAATCACAGAATAACAGCTTATTCCCTTGCTTCCATGTGGCCCACATCTTATCACCAGCAAGAGGGGTCGATCTTACCACATGAGCCTTGGACTTAAAAGCCAGAATGTTTTAAGGGGATGGACAACTGTGCACCTGCAGGATACCTCCCCAAGTGTATGGCCAATCATCAGAGCTCCCCAGAGACAAAGTGTGAATACTCTCAGACTGCAGAGGCACTGGGCCAGCCAGCTCAGGGACTGGGGAGAACTCTCAGTAGAACTGCTTCTGCATCTTCATTCAGTCCCCCACCCTGGGAGTATGGGAGGAATGCCAGGAGGAGCCAGGCAGTGATGTCCACACACAGAAATGAGCTAGAGAGGCCTAGGCAGCCATGCTTTCCAAATCATTAGCTGGTAATAGTTTCATTGTTTGGGGGATTCTATTAGGAGCCCTGCTGGCACAGTGGTTAAGAAGCTTGACTGCTAACCAAAAGATCAGCATTTCGAATCCACTAGCCGCTGCTTGGAAACCCTATGGGGCAATTCTTCTCTGTTCTATAGGATCGCTATGAGTTGAAATCCACTCGACAGCAACAGGTTTTTTAATTGGTAAATGCACTGTAACTCTTGTTTGCAGTGAGGGGGGAAAGGGATGCACGTGTGTGAGTGCATGTGTGTGCATGTATGTATACATGCACACACACACACTTAGTATGTACATGTGTGTAAAGCTGTAGAAACTTACAAACTTAGGCATCATCAAAGAGTAAGCACAGTTTCCAAAAGGCCCTTACTTCCCAAGGAAGGTTGAATGGGGAGAAAAATCAGTTTTTTGAATACTGAATATAATGTAATTTGTTAATTAGATATGGTCTCAGATTTGCATATTTACATGCTAATCTCCAAGAAGGCAAATTACAGAACTTCCTTTGAGCCCCAGTTTTATTCCCAGTAAAATGATAATAGTACCTACCTCATAGGACAGTGGAGAGGAATGAAGGTGAGAATTTACAGAAAATGCTTACCACAAGATACTGTACTTTATAGAATAGATTGTCTTCACATTTTCCTGTTATACATAATTACCTATCCATATACGATAACATACATGTTTTTGAACTCAGAAGTTGATGTGTGCCTTAACGTGCTCAGTACATAAACAAGAGTGAATTCTTAGTAGTTCAGTTTTACTATGGGGGAACAGAACAACTTTGTACTGCAATTATACTTTGTTTTTTAAACTTTTGTAATTTTTAGGGAATCAAATATTTAAGGACAAAATTAAAAAGTTAATTTGAATTATCCTAGACCAAGAACTCATTCTCTTGAAAAATATTTAACATTTAATGTTTAATGATGTGACATTACTTACATTAAATGGTAATTTGTGAAATGGAATGCAGTGTGACAAAATTTTATATTTCAAGGCTTATGCTTTGACTACCCAAGACCTACACGAGGCTACATTTTATAATGGTGAAACAATTTTAGACAAATTTTATTCATTTCTAACCACTTAAGGGAGTCCTGGTGGCACAGTGGTTGAGAGCTCAGCTGCTAACCGAAAGGTCGGCAGTTTGAATCCACCAGCTGCTCCTTGGAAACCCTATGGGACAGTTCTACTCTGTTCTGTTGGGTCGCTATAAGTCAGAATCGACTCGACAGTGGTGGGTTAACCACTTAAGAGCCATAAGCAGCTGCATTTCTCTTCAGTTTACCAGTAACCATAAATACTCCCTACACTGCATATTCATTGTCTTACACAAAACCAGGGACAGAGCCATTGCCTGTATGTCTGAAGTGATACTTTAGGACATTAACTTACAGTTAAAGTCATATTTGAGTGCCATATCAGCATTAGCACTCTCAGTACTATGTCAGTTAATCGGATAGTTTTATGCTATATAGCATATTATAATGTCTCCATTTTTAATAAGGTAATACCTTTTAAAACACCTTTGTCTTTTCTCATATTATCTGAGTTGCTGGTACCCCCATTAAACAGAATAACAACTGAAGTTGAGAAGTTCACATAATGGGTTAGAGATCAGTGAAAACAACAAGAATAGCAAAAGTTATTGTAAAATTGACAATACATTGTTAATTGCTTGAAGGCCATTAATCACCTCTGTATCTAGGCAAACCAATTTATGATACTTTTGTTTGACACCATGGATTACATTTTCTTTTTTCCGTTAGATTTGTTTGGTCTGTCAGGGAACCAACTAAATAGATGAAGAATAAGGATTTGCCAGGAAATGATTAAACTAATCACTTAAAGGAACAGCTTTGAAAGTGTCTCCCAAAATATATTTGGCCAATACAGTAGCCCCCTCCCCATCTGCAGGTGATACATTCCAAGACACCCCCACCAGGGATGCCTGAAACTGCAGATACTACTGAACCTATGTATACTATGTTTTGTCCTGTACGTACATCCCTGTGATGAAGTTTAATTCACAAGTTAGGCACAGTAAGAGATTAATAACAATAACTAATAATAAAATATAACAATTATAACAATATTCTGTAATAAAAATTATGTGAATGTGGTCCCTGGGTGGGTGGAGCAGGAAGGCATGAGGTTTCATCAAGTCGACCACGAGTAACTGAAATCGCGGAAAGCCAAACCTCAGGTAAGAGGGAGCTACTGTATCCCAATATTTTATTAAGTTTTCAATGGGGAAAAAAAGGAGTTTGTTGTCAAATAAGTTTGGAAAACACTGGTTTAAACAAAGTTAAATAGATCTATTTCCTTGAGGACACCTGAGAGTCTTTCCTCTGCTAATTCAGAAGTTTATGCAACAAGTTTGAGTAGCTAGGCTGTGAACATAATTGTGATAGTTACTAGGATGTGACTCTTGGAGATAAAATGTGCGTGTGTGTGTATGTGTATAGTATCTACTAAAGTCTTAAGAAATAGGAACATGCTGGGAAACTGACCTATAAAACAGAACAAGATCTTGAAGATTTGAGGAAGTAGTTGATAAGGAATACTGCACATAGAAATTGGTAGCTCTTTTTGGGATTTAAAAAAAAAAGAAAAAACTCTTTGCCATCGTGTTGATTCCAACTCATAGCGACCCTATAGGACAGAGTAGATCTGCCCCATAGGGTTTCCAGGGCTGTAATCTTTATGGAAGCAAATTGCCACATGTGTCTCCTGAGGAGCGGCTGGTGGATTTGAACCTCCGACCTTTCTGTTAGCAGTGGAGCACTTTAACCATTGTGCCACCAGGTCTCCTCCTTTTTGGGATAGGGGAAAATATTAATATTTTACCACCCAGTGTGTTGTATGAACATTTTCTAATCTTAGAAAAAGGTGAACGAAGAACATTTCTCCTTAGGAATAATACAGGGTGCTATGCAGTCATATCTATGGTGTCGCTATGAGTCGCAATCAACTGAAAGGCAATGGGGTTTGTTTTTTTTTTTTTTTTTTGACATTTAGCACACCATAAACTGCTCCAGAACACTGTAAATGAGATAATGCCATGAGCTCAGACCTGTGGCAATTGCAATCCTGTTTCTGAGTAATCATTGTGACAGCCTTCTGTTGCCTCTGTGATGGCAATAGCAGAACAACAGCAGCGCAGTAGTAGCTAAATAAGGATTTTGAAGCAATAATTCTTTTTAAAAAAAAAAATAATAATAATGCTATCTTTTAAACTCTTTATCTCTAATGATATCACAACCCAGCTTTCTTTTTGCCTTCTTTATTACAGTTACATATGGGGCTGATGGCTTTAGGGATTTTCATGCAATAATTCCCAAATCTTTCTCTCGTAAGTATATGCCTTGCTTCCAGAAAACAGAAATGTATCCATTTTGTTCTCAGTTTCCATAGTGTGAACATTGTGAATGCATGTTGTTTCATCCACACCTTCCTTCACGCTTGAAAAAGGAGATAAATATTTAGCATTCTGTTCATTAAACATCTGCCATCAGGGATGTTCATTTATACAATGAAGTACATAAGTAAAGTCTTAGACTTTGGGGGATGTACCGTAGAGCATGCCTTTTGGGGTGGCCATGGGAGTAATAGAGTTGGAGTGGGAGTAGCATGAGTAGAATTTTTATAACAGTTGATTTTATAAAAAAATAATAATAATAGTTTTGTTATGGATGTTATGATTATCTCCTTTATTGGGCATGGTAATAAAATGGGCATAACTTTCTGTCACTATCAAACAACCCAACATATTTTCAAGATGATTTTTATAATTTTATGGGCCAGGAAAGAGACGTATTCTCCTTCTGTTGCTATGGAATATTCATTTCAGAACTGAGAGGAGAAACTCCAGGCTGTATGCTGTGGTGCCTCACTGCATGAGCAAACACACAGTTAGCGCCTGGTGCCTATGGGATTGTCTCTGGTCTGTGCTGTTAAACCAACAACAGATGTTAATTTCATTTTTCTTATTTAGGTATTGAGAGCTCATAAATGATAAATATATGTGGGTAATGCCCTTTGAAGGAATATTTTAAAGAATGGATTTGGGGTTTTTGTTGTTGCTGCTGTTATTGTTGTTTTAATGCACAGATAGCTAAATATTGACAGGATTTTGAAGTTAGTAGCCCCCTTAGAACTGAAGTTTTCAGAGCTCCTATTAGTAATGTCTCTAGTATCATAAGGTAACATCAGAAAACAGGTTGTACCTGTTAATACTGTAACAGTTATTAATACAGGCGCAAATTTAAAAGGTTTTGGTAACAGGGATAGGTTTCTGGCGTCTGGTTATCAGAAGTTATTTTGTGACTTCACAGGATCTAGCAATGCAAATCTCAAGTATAGCATTTGCTCACAAAGTAGATTGACTACTTTTCCAGTATATAAAAATTATAGAAATCTTTCTCTTACTAACATTCCTTTAACTTTAAAGCAATAACTTGCTGTTTATTTCTGTAAGACATATATGTATGTATGTATAAGTGTTGATATATTTCTAGATATATATGTATATAATGTGCATGTTTATATGAATATGTAAAGCATTAAGGTACTAGGACAGAGAAATAATATAATTTTGAGATGAATAATCACATTACTGAAATGCTTTGAAAAGTCAAACACACTTAAGAGTAAGATAATACATTCTAAGTCATGTGTTGATTACATCTGAGGAAGGTTTAGACTCAAGCATATTATAAAGCAGATCCTTAAGTGATACCTTCAGCATGTAAAAAATTGCTACATATGAAGATATATGGGACTTAGAGCTTCTACAGGACAGACGATGTATATTTTGATACTCTATATATTTATATAAATGGGCTCACAAGGTGTGAGCATGTTGCTCTCCCTCCTCTCACCACCCTCCCTGCCCCACCACCCCGAGTATTCACATTTAATTATCTTCCTCACACAAATGGCTGGCTGACCTTGATCACTTTGCCACCCAAACAGCAACCAAACAGTTCAAGGTCTATGTCACCACCTTGCGGTAATGAGGGAGCTGTCCTCCTCACCAGTTTGTTTTCCCCCACTTTTGAAAAATTAAACGCTTATCCCTGTTGACCCCCTTCTCCTGCTCTATTTTAGTTTGTGCCCCGGTTACCTGAGGAAAATGTATGTGCTTGTAACTTGTTCTTTTTTATACTCTTGCCTCCCTTTTGCCTTTCTTCATCTCTTTCCCTGATTGCACTCAATTTAAAGACTTAATAAGGAGAAGAATATTTCTAATCATGCATCTTGACAAAAATCAAGAACACCTATGTTTTAAATTATATTAAGTTATAATAAATGGTTCCATTAACCACTGAAATGCTTGATAGTTTCCATAAATCTCCTTTTAAAAGCAATACAAAAACATCTATAATCTCTTCATCACAAATTTACATTTAATTACCATCATTTAAGGTCCATCTTAAATATTCTGTTTAATTTTTGCTTGCTAGTCACCAGTGTTGCAAGACTATTTCTGTCTCTCACTTTTTCATTTAAAATATTCAGCAATTCAACCCTACCTGGGCTAAACTCCTACTGTAGTGACTGTTTCAGAGTATCTTTGTAATGGAAAAATGCCTTGAGTACCAAACATTTACCTTAGCAATAAATACAGAGACACATTCTCAAAAGGATAAGAAAATGAAGAGGAAACATAAGCCATTTGTAAGGTGGGAACTGCCAGTGTGCATTATACCTATGCATTAAAAATTTTCATTATTCATGAGTGCATACACTCCTTGGCAGCAAATTCACATCTCTTGGCTCCTGTTGACCCCGACTTCCCTGGATTCTCCTGAGTCTTCACTTCTAAACTCATGTATATGCTATGGTCCACCTTGCACTCAGGGGCATGGGGATCTCTTTTAGGACTGCTTTATTCCTGATAGCATAGAAGTCCTTTAGAGGAAGTTTTTAGTTTTTCCTAATTCTAAAGAGTATCTGGGAAGGAAAAGTAGCTTTTGACTTGGGGTTTGAAAACATCCATTCTCAATATAAGCCATGTTTATTAAATAATAAAATTGGGCCTGTCCATTATCTCTTGTTAGACAGTGGAAGAGCTACAGGGCAGACTTGAGCCAGAATGTTCAAGGGGAAAGAAACGTATAACAAGTCTCCATTTCATGTTCTATATTTAATAAGTTCAACTCAGCACCTTACTGAGTTCAACATTTTTCTAAGTACTGGTAGCAGGGGGGTCACATTTATAAGTATAATCCTTATAGTTGGAGGAGTGTAACATTTCACTGAAACATTATCATAAGTAAGCATTTCTGGGTCCAAGTAAATGAAGTAGATTGATTGTTTTAGAAAGAGTCAAAAAAAAAACCAGTTGCCATACAGTCTATTCCTACTTAAGGAGATGCCAGGTATTTCAGAGTAGAACTGCACTCCATAGGGTTTTCAGTGGCTGTGATCTTTGGGAAGTAGATCTCCAGGCCATTCTTCTGAGATGCCTCTGGGTGGACTTGAACCACCAACCTTTCAGCTAGTAGCCCTGCATTTAACCATTTGTGCCACCCAAGGACTCCGGAGAGAGGGGTGAGGCCAGTCAATTGGTGTCCTTCTTAACTTTCAATAAAGGCAACACCTACTGGATGGACCAAATGACAGTAAATTCAAATTTGGGTAAAATTGACTATTTCACTGAATGTATAATGTTGTCAGTCTGATTTGTATCCCTTAAGGAGCTCTAATTATTAAAAAAATGGAAGGATTCATTATATGACATTCCCAGCAGAATAATGTGTGAGCCTTGTATTTACCTTTGGGTGGGCTCCAAGGTATTTTAATCTGAAACTGCCAGGAGATGAGGAGCTTAAATAAATGTCGGCCACCCATCCTGTTAGCTGAAGCAACCACTGGTCTCATTTACTTCTTCCAGATTGCGTATTTCGAAGTAATGGGCCTACAAACACTCACATACACATCCCCAGAGCCTTCCCCTCACACGTGGATGTGTGCACCACCGTCAACGGGCCCAATATTCCACTTATTTTCTTTTCCCAACAGGGAGAGAGGAACAGGTAAAGGAAAAAGCCCTCGGGACAAATGCCCTTTAGTTCTTACTCCTTAAATGAGAGAATTATTGCTCAAGGCCACGCATGTGATTGTGGAGTTGGGGAGGCTTACAGCCATTGGCTCTAAGGCTTCTGTGGCTGGTGCATGAACAAGCTCTCGGGGAATTGCCTCTCTGCCCCCTCCGTGTGGGGAGGCTGCAAAGGCTGGAGACCCCTCTGTTGGAAGAAACTTCTTGTTGCTCTGACCCCCCACTGGCCTCCCCTATGCCTTTTCTCCACTTTGAGGGGCCAAGCAGAGGAAGCACTGATCCCATTTCTTCAGAGGCACAAAGACACCGTCTTGCACAGTCATTTCAGCTCTGGGTTCACGTTCTCTGAGCCAGGCGTGCTCAGCCCCTCAACAGTTCCTCATATGAATTGGTTTCAGTCTTCCTTTGACTTCCTTCTGAACCACCTCCAGACTGTCGTTGTCCCTTTTACAGGAGGTGTGTGACCTGGCGAGTGCAAAGGACTCCAAACTTGAATTAACACAGAAATCCAAGACCACACGTGCTATTTGTTTCTCTTTCTGTCACATGGCTCCTGGAGCTCACTGTCAGCTAAACCCTCAAAGCCTTCTTCACACTTATGTTAGGCCAAGACATCCTGAGCTTGGGGTTTTAAAATTGCATTTTAACTTAAGTAGACCTTACATGTACTGTATTTTATGCAAATAACACACGCCTTATATGTGTGTTCGCCAGCCATGCCCTCCTCCCCCCACCCCGTGAGATATTTTCATAAGCGCCGATATACCAATTTTTTTACATATTGCTGTAAAAAAAATTAGCATAGTGAGCTTAGGAAAATATCTCATGGCAGGAGGGCACAGTTGGCAGACAAATGTAGAAGGCACACGTTATTTACATAAAAATACTCTTAGGTCTATTAGGTTTCAGCTGTTGTGATTCAGTCTATATTTGCAACTTCTTAGGATGTCTTCAAGCCCTGACTTCTGTCAGCTACAAAAATAATAAGCAGGTTGCCCGTATTCTCACTCCAGGCAGATGAGAGACTACCATTATCATGGACACCCTCCTCTAATGAACACAAATCTCTTAATCATTTTTATATACCTAGCTCTCGTGGGTGCAGTGGTTAAGCACTTAGCTGCTAACTGAAAGGTGGGTAGTTTGAACTCGCCAACTGCTCTGTGGGAGAAAGATGTGGCAGACTGCTTCCATAAAGACTACAGCCTTGGAAACCTATGGGGGCAGTTCTACTCTGTCCTATAGGGTCACTGTAAGTCAGAATCGACTCAACAGCCATCAAGGTTTTTGGTATCCAGTTTACATTTGTCCACAAATATATGAGAACCTTTTCCCCCATACCCAAAAAACCAAAACCCATTGCCATTGCGTCCTTATAGAAGAGAGTAAAACTGCCCCATAGGGTTTCCTAGGCTGTAATCTTTATGGGAACAGACTGCCGCACCTTCCTCCCATGGAGTGGCTGGTGGGTTCGAACTGCCGACCTTCCGGTTAACAGCTGAGCTTTTAACCACTGCGCCATCAGGGCTGCTTTTCCCCCCATATTTAGAGAAAATTTACGCAGTTTGAATCTCATATGCCTCCAGGACTAACAGTGTCCCCCAGGTTTATTCACCAAATCCCCGTTGGCTCCTGGCAGCCATTATTCCTCTCTTAGTCCTCATTCATTTGTTCACATCATAACGTGACCTGGAATTTGTCTTCAGAGGGTTAGCAAGCTCCCAGCTCTAAGACATCAAGCATCTGCCATCTAACTCTTACTTCAACTTTGTAGAACATTTCTTCTGTTGCGTCCTCTGTCATGTTTCCAGTGCTCGTGACTCCTTGGTCTTGCCTGCAGCGGTCTGTGGGCATTGTCTGCACAGTTGTTTTCAGAGCCATAAAATATCACAGCAGTCTTACATTTTTGCTCTGAGTTTTGCACTGAACATTCCTGCTGCCATTATTACATTTTTATATACGTATTTTTACACCCTTCCATCTTTGTGCAGGAGCCCTAGTGGCACAGTGGTTTAGTTCTCGGCTGCTAACGAAAAGGTCAGTGGTTCAAACCCACTAGCCGCTCTGTGAGAGAAAGATGTAGCAGTCTGCTTCTATAAAGATCACAACAGTGGAAACCCTATGGGGCAGTTCTATTCTGTCCTATAGGATCGCTATGAGTTGGAATCCACTCAACGGCACACAGCAGCAATAACATCTTTGTGCCTAAAATTGTGCTTGGGTATCTACGCTGATCTCAGGATTATTTCTGATTTGACTCTCGTGCTTTGTTGAGCCTTTTTTTGTTTTGTTTTTACGGCTCTCTCTGGGAGAGTGTCATGCAGTTCAGTAGTGATAGAGTCTTGCTTTCAAGAGCCACTCATCAAATTAGTCATTGGTATCAGATCTTCAGGAGTAGTTGAGTGTTAACAAATGATTAACATACTCAGCTACTAACCGAAGATTGGTGGTTTGAATCCACCCAGAAACACCTCAGAAGAAAGGCCTGGCAGTCTACTTCTGAAAAATCACCCACTGAAAACCCTGTGGAGCACAGTTCTACTCTGACACACATGGGGTTGCCCTGAGTCAGAATTTGTTTTTTGTTGTTTTTATCAGATCTTCTGGCTTTGAAAACCTCTGTGGCTTTTAAGGCAAAACTCACCCCATGCTTCCTGCTCACACTGTCCTCCTCTCCTTCCTTCCTGAAACTTTGCTCTACCTTCCTGCACAAGCAGCCCACAAGCAACCCCGCCCTTGTGCTCCAGATGTCAGACTCCTGAAGTTATCCCTGATGCCTTCACGCTGTTCTGCTCTTGTGGATATGTGTGTGGAGGTATCCACACAGTCTTCATCAACACAAGCCATAAGGCACAACATACTTGCCTTCTTAACAATACAGAAGAACAGCTTGGAGTTTCTGGCAAGTGCTAATATGCCATCTACTGACGGGTGTCCTTGGGAAAGCAGGAGAAAATTCCCTTAAGTTGCCTTTAAACGTATAAACTCTAGTCAGTGGAGGGACCTACTTGGTCCACTGTGTAGCTTTCTTTTCCAATCCCAGGAGCCCTTGGCTGGCACCCTGCATTGTGTCATGTCCCTTAGCTGCAGTGGTTGAGGACCTTGCCACACCAACAATCATTTACTCCCCTGTGTACTAGCTTACGCCGATCTAATTTTTAAAACCACTAGACACGTGACTGAAAATCATCCCAGGTTAAGAAATGCAAAGATCTTCAAAGCTTTATTACCATGAGCATGTCAGCACAGGTATTAGGAAACAGTGAGGACCGAGTGAATTCGCTTGCACCTGAAAAGATACACAGCACATATCTGAGAATCAGATCACAGAGAATTCAAAAGTCATAGCACACCATTGCCTGGAAGGCCAACCTACCTGACTTGCTTCCCTTGTCTCCTCTCGCTTACTGTGTCAGTAGGACCTGGTCACATGTCCCTGGTAGCTTGGATAAGTTAGCAGGAGTTGTCGAGATGGAAGGGGTCCCTACATCTCAAGTCTTCAGAGTCTCTTAGGGTAGAACATTCATCAGACTGGTGCCTGTGATCTCATTAATTTCTCTCATTTATGCTTATTTTTGTAAGTCTTTTCTCCAAAGAACAAATGGAAAAACCTTGGTGGTATAGTGGTTAGGTGTGCAGGCTCGGGGGGAAGCTGCCTGCAGTCACCTCTCAGCGCTGTCACTTACAGCTATATGACCTTAAGAGAGCTGTTCAATCTCTCTATACCTCAGATTCTTCAACTGTAAAATAGGATAATAATAGTACCTCCCTTTTAGGGTTGTTGAGAGGGTTAAATAATGTGGTGCAGTTAAAGTGCTTGTGTGTCTGGTCATAACCATTATTGTGATGGGGCAGAGACTCCACCTGTGGATAGCTACATTTGGAGTGGGTCCACCGACTGTGTAACAGGTCACTCTTCTAATCCAGCTTCTCATCTAATGACCCATTTAATTCTCACAACTGCCCTGTTAGACAAGGACTGTGATAGTTCCCATTTTTACAGATGAGGAAACCAAGGCACGGAGACATAATATCTCAGAGCTTGTAAATGGTGGAGCTGATATTCCAAGCCAGATATTTTGATTTCCAAGTCTGGACTCTTACCCCTTAACTGAAGAGGAATGTTTTGAAGAAAATAAACTTGAAGTGTTTTATTTAAAACAGTTCTTCTCAGACCTGAGCGTACATCAGCGCGCCCTGGAGGACCTGTTCCAACACAGATTACCAGTCCTATCCCCAGAGTTTCCAATTCTAGAGGGCTGGGATGGACCCAAGAACTTGCTTTTCTAACATGTTCCCAGGTGACGCTGATGCTGCTGGTTTAGGAGCCACACTTGGAGAATCACTGATTCAAAACATGGATCAAAAAATGTGTGATCTTGTCATCTATCTCATGGATTGTTTTACTTGGCAGAATTTACGTACCTGTTCTTACCATTCCGTAAAAAATCATCATTTAAATGATGACTTTCGGGGTAACTGTAGTTTCTCTTAGTTATTACAGGGTCAGGTCATCAGTTCATCATCAGTGTTTCAGAAGAAAGCAGACAAAATGCCTCTTGTTTTCTTTTTGAGGAAAAATGTACAGATGACATAAACATCACCCTACACATGACTTAAAGGAAATGATAATGTAATGTTGAGCAGGCAGTGGGTAAAATATTCATTAACAGTGGCATTTCACCCCTCTCCCCATACACAGGCCACCTTTCTTTCTCTTTGAAAAGCTATTCCAGAACTCTTACATTCATATTGGATCCCAATCAGTCTTTCATCGATTGAGAGGTATTTAAGAAATCATGCCTCTACTTTAGGACACAGGCTTCATTTACATAATTATAAAATAAAAAGGAATTAGGATGCTCATGTTCCAAAGAAGCAAAGAAAGTATCTTTCAAGAATCTGTGGTCAGAAATCCGAGCATGTATTGGCAGAGTTTTGTCCCCAGGTTTATTAATATTTACCTGAAACAAGGAAAGGTAGCAGTATCAGTAGCAGATACTTTTCTAGCTTGACAGATTCTTATTAGGAATTTTGCTAAAGAAGTTTACACACCCTAGGGAGTTGGGTAGAGGGCAGTGATGGTTAAGTGGTAGAATTCTTGCCTTTCATGCAGGAGACCAGAGTTTGATTCCCGGCCAATGCACCTCATGCGTAGCCACCACCCACATGTCAGTGGAGGCATGTGTGTTGCTGTGATGCTGAACAGGTTTCAGCAGAGCTTCCAGACTAAGACAGACTAGGAAGAAAGGCCTGGTGATTTACTTCTGAAAATTAGCCGATGGATCACAGTCTAATCCTGTTGTGTATGAGGTCACCATGAGTCGGGGCCAACTTGATGACAACTAACAACAACAACAGAGAGTTGGATTATGTGACCCCAAATTCACTCTACGGGGCGCTCATCCTGCCGAGACATGTAGGAGTTGCCTCCCCTCCCTCCTGAGATTCACCAAGCCTGTACCACTGTGGATGCTGTGACCTTCAGCTATATAGAGTGAGGGCACAGCTTTCAAGTGGGAACTTTATAGATAGCCTTCTTGTGCATTTTCAGACACTCCCATTTGGACCTGTGGTGAGGACAGGCAAGATATTCCTACAACCATGCACCTCCTGCCACGTGCCTGTCATCAAAGCCCCCTGCGGGCGAACACATCTCAGCCCAGGGTGCTCACCTAGTATACTGCTAAGACCCCGCTGTTTAGTCGCGTTCTGTGTCTATTTGATTGTCTTTTTGCTGCTGTACTGTTCCTTTTTTTTTTTGCAATGACACTGAGCGGCCTCCTGTATTATTTCTTTCAGCCAGTAATGTTAAAGTAGAGACTCAGAGTGATGAAGAGAATGGGCGTGCCTGTGAAATGAATGGGGAAGAATGTGCGGAGGATTTACGAATGCTTGATGCCTCAGGAGAGAAAATGAATGGCTCCCACAGTGACCAAGGCAGCAAGGCTTTGTCAGGAGTTGGAGGCATTCGACTTCCTAACGGAAAACTAAAGTGTGATATCTGTGGGATCATTTGCATCGGTCCCAATGTGCTCATGGTTCACAAAAGAAGCCACACTGGTAAGGCCTGGCATAGTTCTTCCTTTAGTGTCCTGGAAAAGGTCCCAGGGGTGTTGAAGGAGGCAAATATCCTGCTTTAGCTGAGTGGTTTTGAGTATGTTTCAAATTGACTGACAGCCCCAGCGTTGCAAGTGATTGACGCTGAGAGGGGAGGCATATCATTCTTATCTTGGAACAACATTTAAAAGAGCTTCTAAACATGTACCTACTAATTCTTCCCTGTGAATTAAAGCAGTAACTGAAAGGGAGCCTTAACAGCATCGTATGCAAGTCCTGATATCAGAGATTGAGGACCTAATAGTGTACGTGCTAAATAGTTTCAGCTACACCTTTTGTGTTCCATGTGGTAAGTGGTCCACTCTCAAGAAAAGAAAACAAAACCAGACAAACGGATATTGACAGATCACAATTTACTCCTCAGATGTTCCACCAAGAAGCCATTGGTAAAAATATGCATTTTAATTAGATTCGAACTAACAAGGCTTGGCTTTTGGAAACACTGGGGTATTATGGAAGAGCAATTTCCAGAAAAGAGTTCAGATCAGCTTTCAGAATGCGGTACCCTCCAACAGGTAGAATTTTGAATAAGATTGTTTGGTTGCCACAAATTTTCATCTCAAACTGGTAAATACTTTAATGCCAAAACTCCCTCTTATTGAATGGTTGCTTGAAGGCTTCAGACATAGAGGAGAATATAATATTCTGTGTCCAAAAATGAAGGAATAAGGTCAAGCTAGTGTCAGATAGTTGCAGCCCAGCTCACACAATGTTCTCGAATTTGGGGGTGTGGGTAAGTACAGGGTAGACCCAACTGGCCCACGTGCTGCCCTGTTCTGTGCGTCCCTAATAGTCACGTCAATTGAACAGTCAGATACTTTTCCAGAACTGCTGAGTCCCCACCACTAATGGTGCTAAAGACTCTTAGAAGTCTAATATTAGTGGGACAAACTTTACCTTTAATTGTAAGTATGTGGTTTCTTTTGGGTTGAATGAAACTTGACTCTTCTTTCTATGGAAAGGGGCCCTAAAGACAGGCAAAGCATGATACACTCAGTAACTCTGATGGTCACTGAAAAACATATAAATCCCTGATCCATCGCTGCCTTTGAGATGGCATGAGTAGATCTTCATAAAGCTAGTTTCTGCCACTACAATACCCAAGAGGGAAAAAAAAAAAAACTAGATGAAAAGCATACTTTGCAGACACGAAAGATTTTATAAGAGATCTCAGGGAAGTGAGGAAGAAGACTTGAAAATTATAGCCCCGTGTTATTTTCACTTGGGGTAAAACAAATGTTTATCAAAAATGATGCAGGAATTCAGAAAACCCATTGTGGAAAAAAAGCTGGCTTATCGGGAAATGCAGATATTTTTGCGGTTGTAGTTTTTATGTTCGAATCAGGGCAGTTTTCTAAAACGATGACTTTCATTTGCAGTTGATGTGGAACATACGAAAATATGTTTTCAATGAAAAATTAACTTCTGAAATTAAGTAAACTTTGCTTTTCCTAATGTGCCCCCTGAATCCTCCAATTATCCAGTGAGATAGCTACGTCACCCCCAGCCCTAACTAAAGCTTGTAGAAGAGTAATCATGGTCTTGCCTTTTGTAATGATGTGGAAATTAAAGTGAAAATAGGATACCCCGTGACAGACACTGCACAGAATGCGCCGGGGCCCATTTTCATACATTCCTGATGAAGGAATAAACCTCACAAATGAATTACTTTCCTGCTAATTCATGTCAAGCCTGACCATAGAGGGAAAATTCTCTTAAATAAATATTTGATAAATGAATCAAATTCTGGCATACTAAATTTCCAAAATATAATGACTGCCTGACCTGATAAAAAGAATAATTACCTTTAATGAATAAGCCTGCCAGGGACAGATATGCAGCGGAGCCCTGCTCACCGCTGCCCACTTCTCCTCACACACGGTGGCAGAATGCCGAGTGCTCACCAATATGCCTCCTTCTCCCACTGACAGAAAGAGGAAATTCCAGAAAAGTAGGTACCTCTCAGCAATTTTATCGTTCCTGCCTCAACCTTTATTTAAAGTACAATTAAATAAAGCAAAACCTGAGACAGTGAACTCGTGGATGGTCTTCCTAGTGCATTTCCACTTGCATAAATAGAAGGGTCACAGGTAGATATAGAAATAGATTGGCCAAACTGGATTCAAATGAACAGAAGTACTCGATATGGTTTTATTTCCCTGGGATCTGACGGAATATGTTAAGGAAGGCATGATTGGCTCGCCGCTGACCCCTTCCCTGAGTTCGCTTAAGTGTAAAATGTCTCTGAAGCAGCACTTCTGAAACTCTAAAAAACCAAAGAAAACCAAACCCATTGCTGTCGAGTCGATTCCGACTCATAGTCCCTAAAGGACAGAGGAGAACTGCCCCATAGGGTTTCCAACGAGCAGCTGGTGGATTCAAACTGCCAACCTTTTGGTTAGCAGCCGTAGCCCTTAACCACTGCACCATCAGGGTTTCCTCTGAAACTCGAAAGGGCATGTAAATCACTGGGGAGCTGGTAAAAATGCAGAGTCTGACTCAGACTCTGGGGAGAGGCCTGAGGGGGCAATCCTCGCCATGGCCCGGGGATCCTGGTGCTGCTGTCAGGTGATCTCGTTAGGGACGTGCAGTTGCATCATGGATGGTGAATCTTGCCATTGTGGGTTGGCCCGTCATTTGGGAGCTTAGCTGTGATCTAGCCAGTCACCCACTGGAGAAGCTAAGCCTCGCACCCTTGGTGCTTGTTTCCCCTCCGTCAGCCTGTAGGGTGAGCCTGTGCACCAGTTCCCCAGTTCCTTCCCTGATAACCTGCTGGGATTTCAGTGCCATCTGCCACCAGTAGAGCCCCTTCCCTCTGCACACATCACCACCCTGACAAAGCACTGTGCTCCTGGCACTATTTGCTAAGTGGGTCATTGATACCACCTGGTTTTGCTGCTCAGCGTAATCATAGTGCCTCCCCTGCCCGATGGGAAAAGTGGTATGCGTGAAATGCAGAGAAAAAAACCACCATGCAAATATAAGATTTTATTATCCCGAATGATGGGATTTTTTAAATAATAGTTTTTTAGTGAATTATGGTTATTCTGTATGATCCAAAGTTCGTGAGCTCTGCGCCTGCCCCGTCCCCGTCCACCAGGTGAAGAGAAACACAAGCACGCTCATGGTCCCGAGAGTCCCAAGTAAATTCTTGCAGTTCAGATTTAGTGTTTTGCATTCTCCTTCTTCCCATATACCCTCAGAAATCTTATTTGTTGGAGATATCCATGAAGACCCATTTTTTTTTTTACCCAATTAAGTTATTAAAAGTGGCTCAAATAGTCTTCAGAGGGTCCCCTAACGTGGCAGCTTTGTAGAGTCACTGAGATTAAAAAGTGAAATTTGAATTAATAATCTTAAACTCCTCACCCCAATTAAATAAAAGTAAATAAAATCTTGGCGAAGCTTTATCCTCCTTAGCTTCAGTAAGCAGCCGTGAACCAACAGAAGGCAAACGGTGAGCACTGCCCAAAGATGACAAGGAGCTGGGCCTGGGTTCTATGGTACAGCTCCAAGGACAGGCCTCCTTGTCTGGCAGCACCTCTCAGGGGAAGCTCACTTGAGTAGAGCACTCCTTTGTAACTTTAGCAAAGGCTCTATTCAGGAGTCCCCATGCCCTGTGATACATATTCATGCCAGCACAGGCAATCAGAAGGAAATAGATTTTCAGTAAACCTTGCCAGCAGGGATAAAGACACGCAGCACAGCAGGACACAAGAACAACCATTTAGTCAAATTAGAAGACAGATTTCACTCTCTAAGAAACAGCCGCCATTCCTTCTTTCCTGCCCTGTTCTGTGGAAGGCGGACACGGCTGTGATCATCTGTCCTTTGCCAAGACACTGGTTCCACTGGGTGGTCCCTCTAGTCCTTCGGACCTGGGGGAAGCGTAGCGCTCCAGCACCTTATCCCCATATGAAGGGGTGCTCACACCGCCTGGGTCTGGGTTCACTAGCTCTGAGTCATACCACAGAAAACATTTGTATCCGGGAGCACCCCGCATCCTTACATAAGCCTTTTCACGACTTGTTCCCCAACCTACTGTCGTTCCCACCAGCCTGAGGTTTCTTCCTATCCAAATGAGAGCCATGGGCTGGAGACATATTTCATTTTATCCTGTCTGGGTCTCCCTGCACACAGTGATCGCCCTGTTTTATTTTTCCTTTTGTCCACTTAAAGACACCTGCTTACACACGTGCAAACCAATGAAGGACGGAAAGTGTTTCTAATGAATAGTTAAATGATTTCTCTCCACTGAAAGCTCCTCAGGGCTACCTGACTGCCAGCTGTTTTAATCTCCCTATCCAGTGTCAGCCACATGTATGCAGTTGTAACTCAGAGGTTTAGTTAGCTGGTTAGTTAGTTTAGTTGGTTGGTTTTACCATTACCTTCCAACCTGCTTTCTCTCTATTCAGCCAAATTTATTGCAGCTAGGGATTTGTGGAAATACCAAATATATCTTAGTTAGTATCAGTATCCCTCCAATTGGTCTGTTGTTGAATATCATTGTAAATTAGTCTCAACTTTTACAGTAGAACACCTATCCTGCCCACTTTAAAAGAAAAAAAAAAGTGATGATAATCATGAAATTCAGGTGCTGAAATAGACTTTTAAAATCTGGTGTAGATTTTAATAGAACCAGATGAGCTTCTACTTAATCGTTTCTTAATAAGTGCTGTCTTGTTTCCCATAATCATGTTAATCAATTGGGAAAATCATTAAATATACATGTTAACATGTTATTCTTAAGAAAAAGTGTCACTGTGGAGTACATTTTCATGGTGTCTCAACACGAGAAATGGTGGTCACATATCACGCTTCCTCTAAATAAGCACTTGTTTTCAAAAAAAAAACTTGAATATTTCCTTAAAACAGATGCATTACTCTGTTGAGTGAGAATTAAAGGAAATGCTCACTGGCTTAGATTCCAAGTGTTAGGAGACTACTTACTAGGACAATAGTATATTTCTTTTTCTCAGATACCAGCTTATTCCTTTGTTAGGTACAGAATATAGGGACATGAGCTGCCACACACAACAGAGGTTCACACATTTTCTTAGTGACAACATTCGATAGTGCCAGCCCTGAAAGAATTCCTTACTAATAAACTAAATTGCATCTTTTAGAATATTTGGGCTGAAAATATAACGTGGCTTCTATGGATATAGGCAAACAATAGCTTAAAGGTTGTAGGATTTTTGAGGAAAGAAAAAGCAAGAAATCTCAGTGCAGCTCTGATTTTCATGCCCTGCCACGGGGAGATTTACTTTTATTTGGAAGCTGGATGAGCTTCCTTCGCAGCATCTTAACTTCTCATTTTATTCAATCTTTCTCTGTCTCTCTCTCACCCTCACACTCCCTCTCTGTCTCTGTTCCTGATTTGCCTGCTTAGGGACAGACAGGTAATGGAGAAGAAATTGAAAGGGAAAATACAGGGAAAATGTAAATGAAAAGAAGTTATTATAACTGTTATAATGAAGTGCCTTTCATTTAAATATAAGAATGTAACGCTGAAATGAACTTGTGATCCTGAAATGCATTTTTAATGAGTTTCCTTTTTATTTTGCTGCTTCAGTGGCATATTTTAAAGACCCTTTGAAAAAAGCCACATTAAAAACCCCACCAAATGCCACAACACGCAAAATTGGATATTGGTTTATTCCAAAACTGCTGATCAGGAAGAGTGGCTCTTCATCACAAAATGTTGCAGTCACTTTATTTAAATGAGTTTGAATTTGCATTGTGATGTGCCATTCTGATTTAGGGGAAAAAAATTAGATTTTCAGATCAAATTGACCCAACCAGTGAAGCGTTAAGAAGCTGGCAGGTTTAGTCTGAAAGCCTCATGTTCTATCAAACCTGCAGAGCACCAGGGGGAACAACTTTCTCACTGAGATCCCCTCTTGTTCCCGTGTTAGAGTGCTGTTCTCACACACCTCTCCCTCTCCTCCTCGCAGGAGAACGCCCTTTCCAGTGTAATCAGTGCGGTGCCTCTTTCACTCAGAAAGGCAATCTCCTGCGCCACATCAAGTTACATTCCGGGGAGAAGCCCTTCAAGTGCCACCTCTGCAACTACGCATGCCGCCGGAGGGATGCCCTCACGGGCCACCTGAGGACGCACTCCGGTAGGTCCCTTGGCGTCCTGGGTGCTGGGCGGCCCTGCTTTGCCGGGGCAGGGCCCAGTCCCATGTGTTGGGTGTGTGGACGCTGTCCTCCTTGGCCAGCCTCAAAGCTCGGCCCCAGGGTGAAGTACTCCGTCTGGTATTGCCCATCATTTACTTTGAAAGGCATCTCTGGGTGGTGCAAATGGTTAACACACTCAGCTGCTAACCACAGGGTTAGAGGTTCGAGTCCACCCAGAGGTACCCTGGAAGAAAGGCCTGGTGATCTACTCCCAAAAAAATCAGCCATTGAAAACCCTATGGAGCACAGTTCTACTCTGACACACATGGGGTCATCATGAGTCAGAATCGACTGAACAGCAAGTGGTTTTTACTGGTTACATTAACATCGCTGTCCCCTCTTGGCCCCTAATATGCTCTGCTTAAAAGGAAACCCTGGTGGTGTAGTGGTTTAAGAGCTACGGCTGCTAACCAAAAGGTCAGCAGTTCAGATCCACCAGGCAGGTGCTCCTTGGAAACCCTATGGGGCAGTTCTACCCTGTCCTTTAGGGTTGCTATGAGTTGGAATCAACTCGAGCAATGGATTTGGTTTGGTTTTTGGGTGTTCTCAATAAACTAGAAGAAAGGGGTGGGGAAATGTACATACGTACACACGCACACTGTCTCTCCCTCGCATACACACATACACATTTGGAAGCCCTACTTTAAGTAGAGTATTTAAAAACAGCCTCCTCATCCCATTTCATCAGTTAAGTGGGTTTTTAAAAGGATTTCACCAGCCGTACTTTTTACTGGGTGCATTCCTAAAATGCTCAAAAAGTTCCCTAATAAGTTTCTTCGTGTAGATTGTTAAACCACACTCATTGCTGCCTTATACAGAGTAGTTTTAACGGTGTAATGGAGACATTTTCTTTGCAAAGGTGAGAGACAGAGTTGATTAGCGCCCTTGGTTATCTGCCATTGTTGAGTGTAAACCAGTTAACTGAGGCTCACCCCCTGGACTGTGGCTCTCATGCCAGAAGCCAGGCCTTTATTGGAAGGCTAGTTTGGGGCTGTTGCCTGATTTGGGATGACAGCAATTCTCTTTGAGTGGATCTTAACATATATCCCACACCATCCAGAGGTCACAGATAGATCCTAATTTGCATAAATGCTCAGTAGTTCTCGAAACTCTCCCAACCTGTGAAGCCAATCCACCTTTAATTAAATTAAACCTTCTGCTTCCTTAGAAATCGCCCTCAGTATTTCATTATCACATTAGCGCTCATCATCTCACCCTTCAGAGGAAGAGTAGTTCTTGGCTAACCTTCTCTGTGTGTGTTTGCCTGTGGTGTGGTCTAGGTGATAGGACACCACGGGTGTTTTTCACAACCCTCAGTCAATGATATTTGAGGTGCACTACACAGAGGATTTGGAAGCTGGAAGATTGCTAGGGCACGCGTCCCTACCCTTGCAGAGCTTCCAGCCCCAGGCGTCTGGTCGGCCCACTTCTGCTGAGCACCTGCGATGAGCAAGGTGCTGTGGGAGACAAGAGTGCTTCAGTGCCTTCCCTTCAGAGCTCATCACCCACAGGAGAGCCTAACAAGGAGGAAACTCCCCCCCAGGAGGGCAGGAACTCTGTGTTCCTTTGAGAGAGGTTTGCATGGGCTCCATCCATCTCTTGCCCAGAAAATAATAAGTGTATTTAATAGTTGGGGTTTTAGAGGGCTCTTCATTTTGTTCATCTCTTTGTCACACATTACTGAGCGCCTCAGGGAACTCATTCTTCAGTGGGGAAGACAGGTATAAACAAGTAAAGCAATATGTGTTACAAGGGCTACAACAGAAGCGTCCGAGGGGATGGAGGAAGCATGAGGGAGGGAAACAGGTGTGAGGAGAGACTTGCAATAGAAGGAGGGGCTTGGGTACATGCTGAAAGGTAAGTTTCTGAAGTTTACCTTTAGAGAAGTTCCAAATGAATGTGTCATTTCTTAAGTGATCCTAGGAGGAGGTGTGGTACAATTTCTTGCAAGTGTTGGCGAGAACTTTGTCTTTCTCTTAGTGAATAGTACCTGTAGGGGTTCCCCAGACCGTTGGAGACAAGATGGACAGGAGTCGTAGGGAGGTCCTATGAGCGCGAGTTCTGTCATAGCTGCCCAACCAGGCCATCTCAATTCCCATCTCCTTCCTGGTATTAAACATGGAGGAGCCTTCCATAAATGCTCTTAATTAGAAACTCATGATGACTAGGTGATCTTAAAATCTTCCAAGAAAGGAGCTTACACCAAGCTAAGGAACTGCCCTTCCTATACAGCAAGGCAGGTCAGTGGGGAAGGACAGTGGAGTGAGTGATGCTACATCCCCATCACGGGTCAGCATACATACTCAAGGCTGGGGAGGGGCTTGCTGCAGGTGGGCAGGGAGAACAGATGGCTCTCCCAAAATGGAATGATGACAACAGGACAGGGAGCATATTTACATGTCTTCATGTGTTAATAATGGTGAATATGTGTTGTTGTCCTGCCTAGTGGTGAAGAAGGGGTGAGGGAACTAGACCCTCACAGGCTTCAGGTGTGCTGATTCTATAGCATGTGTCCACTGCCTGATAAATGATCTGCGGGAGGGGTGGTGGGGAGAGAAGCTTCACATGTATCACTGGTAAGGTCTCAAGTAGACGTAAACGTAAGTCACCATAATACTGTGTTCAAGTTGGTAGGAAGCATAGCTTCCCATGCAGGCAGAAAACACAAATACTTGTTCATTTAAAGTGACATCAGTCTTTTTTCTTTCCCATTAGGAAATTAGCAACATCTAATGCCACAACTATGATTTAATGTTATTCTGGCTGCACGCCTGCTTATTTCATTCAAGGCGTGTTGGCGTCCTGCCCTAAGTATGACTGATTACTTGTGTAATTCTATATAGCAGGTGGTAGGCCACAGACAGTTTATTTCTATTTTGTGTCTACTGACAAGCGAGTGAGTAATACGATAGTGAGAAAACCATTATGGACCCAGGGATGGTGGTGATTCTGACGTCTTAAAGTGACATTAACACCACGCTCTTGGAAAAACCAGTGATTTATGTTCTACAAAATGACTTCACTAGAATCAGATGAAGATTCTAGCCTTTGTCTGGCAAACTCACATGTGGCCACAGTCTATTCCGTCATGGAACGGCCACTTTCCTCTTCCATTAAAAAACATGACCAACCTCACACCTTTCCCCACCAACTGGTTGTAGCCTAAGGTTCCAGAGACCAACACGTTAGTGGTTACATAGCTGTAGAATTTGCTCTATACTGATTACGAGAATGATTTGGCTGATCTTGCATGGTCTACAGAGGGGATCCGCTTTCTTTCTTCACTGCTTTCTTTGGAAGTTGCAAGCTTGGTTGGAGACGTTCTTTCTTGCAGAATTATTAGGCTATACTTTAAGATTCACTTTAGTCCTATTGCTTGCAGTGAACATGTTTCTTATCTTCCTGGGATAAAATCAATCATTTATTCAGAAAATGGATATTCAGACACCATGCCATTTTAAGAAGCCCAATGGTTAAAGCACTCAGCTGCTAACCAAAAGGTTGACGGTTTGAACCCATCCGCTGCTCCGTGGGAGAGAAGTGTAGCAGTCTGCTTCCATAAAGATTACAGCCATGGAAACACTATGGGGCAGTTCTACCCTATCCTATAGGGTCACTATGAGTTAGAATCGACAGCAGTGCCATTTGTACAGATAGGTGATTTCGATTGTGGGATTTGCTAAAGTTAAAACTTTTCCAAGAAAGGACATTGAGGGGCTCTCTGGATTCTATTAATTTCTAAAAGCAGAGCTTAATAAAATGTGCAGTTTTAGGCAACATCCTATATTTTAACATTACTTCCTGGTGTTGAGAGTGCATCACTTTCTATAGATAAGGAAAGATCCCTTTCTTCCTCTATTAAATGTTCCAGAAGTCCAATTTTGGTTTTCATATTAGTCTTCTTAAACCATAGCTTCTTTTCACCTGGGAAAGAGATTTAACTCTCACAAGCATTGGCTAAGCCATTTTCTGAACATTTTTATTTGGATGATTTTGACTTTTACATAATACTTTGAAAAATGTAAAATCAACCTAAGAAGAAAGTAGAAGACGATGCTGGTCTTAGGGTGGGAATTTATGTTACTTATATAAGTGATTGAAAATGCTTTATCCATTTATCTCCTACAGTGTTACCTGTGTAAGTCTTTATACTTAGGCATAATATGAATTCCTAGCTAGTCCTCACCACTCGGCAAAATTCATGAGGAACTAAACTCATAGAAATGCACCATCCGATACAGTAGCCAGTAATAGCCATGTGTGATATTTAAATTTACATTTTAATCAATTAAAACTAAACCAAAGTAAAAATTCAGTTTCTCAGTGGCACTAGCCGCATTTCAAGTACTCAGTAGCCACACATGACTGGTGGCTGCCATGTTGAACAGCACAGTGGCTACCATATTGCATGTCATAGGGATAGAGAACATTTCCATCATTACAGGAAGTTCTTTTGGACAGGGCTGATCTAGAAATTATGTCATCGTAAAGGTCTTTGGGGAGACCACATAGCTTTTCCAAGTTAGAACAAGAAAATGCATTTTGGAAATAATATGCTCGTTGCAGTAAACATATTAATCCTCCATGGTTTCTTAGAGACCTCACATTATTCCCTTCTAACACTGGATTTGAAGTCACATTGGTTGTGTTAGATCTAGTAGCAGTGCTGTACCAATGGACCTGGACCAGCATGGACCTGGACCCCAGGCCTACTTTAGAGGGAATCTGAATGAATCCAGCAGACACAGGGCCTCCTCAAGTCTCTGCCCAGTTGTTCTACATCCATATTATAATACTGCAGTGGTTATCTTCTCTGGTTAAAAGACAGGCCTCAGTGACTTAATATGAGAGCATTCAATAGTCATTAGTCAGTACAGCGGACAAATAAAGCTGAAACAAGAGTCACTCGGGTTCTCGGTACAATCAAGGAACCCCCTGGGCATTAACATTTTTAAATTCAGTCATTTTGACCAAGTCCATAATGCTTTTAGCTCTCAAGAGTAGAGATTTTTTGTTTTTGTTTTTTACTTTTTTGGTAATAACTGTATTGCATGCATTCCCATGACACATAAGGCCGACATTTAATTGGGGTCTTGAACTCAATTGTGTTTTCTGCAGTTGGTAAACCTCACAAATGTGGATATTGTGGCCGAAGCTATAAACAGCGAAGCTCTTTAGAGGAACATAAAGAGCGCTGCCACAACTACTTGCAAAGCATGGGCCTTCCAGGCACGCTGTACCCAGGTAAGCGCGGAGAGCTCGCAGCGACCCTGGAGCTGGCTCTCCCTCTCCAGCAGGCGGGTGAAGAGGGCCCTCCGCACAGGGCTTTGGCAGCAGAACCAGAGGCCTGCCTCGCCGCCACTGCTGGGATGATGGAGGGATATTTTTGACACAGGTTCATGAGGAGCACGTGGTGCTTCCCCACTTTGTAAGTTCTCCTCTGGCCAGTCCTCACCTCACTCAAGAGAGCTTGGCTTTAGGGCCTCTCCCTCTTGAAATCTGAGGAAACGTCTAAGGTAGTAATGACCCTCAAAAGTTTTTGGTTTTTTTTTTGCTTTTGGTTTTGGTTTTTGTTGTTTTTTTTTTTGTTTTTGTTTTTTTTCTTTTTGGAAACCTGGAGTATCAGTTGCTTCTTTGTGCTTAGTAATCAGAAAAGATGTGAAATCTTGTTTTAAAACTGTTTTTTCACAAAGCTGATCAAATTATGAACCTTCAGGCTGTGTTTTTCTCCATCAGTTCAGACTGAGGGCACAGTACCCGTAACTACTTGGCACATGAGGTTGAACCTTGTTGAAGGAGCTGTGTTTAACGTACGTTTTGACCCTGACAGTCATCAGTATTGAGGTTGTCAAATGATTAACAAAAGATTGCTTTTTCCCTCTGAGCACCGATGCTTGGTTGTATGTTGCAAAACGAGATAGCACTTGACTCTAGTCTTAGATAATGTAAAGTGAAAGATGTACAGAAAGTGCTGAAGGAGGCTGGATTTACTCAGAGGGATGGCAGTGTGATTAAAAAAAAAGTTCCTTTCTAACTTTTTAAAGGATAAGAAATTTATAAATAGCTCAACTGAAGCTAACTTCTTTCAAAACACAATGCATTGCCAAACCATAGACAGGCCCGTAAAATAAACAATAACACCCGAGAAGAACATGCTCCTTAGTACAATCAATTATATGAGATCAAAAGGGCAACATTTGCCCAAAATCAACGATGAGAAGGCAGAAAGGGGCAAAAAATCAGGATGAAAGGAAACAGGGAACCTAGGATAGAAATGTGGAGAGTACCGACACATTGTGGGGAATGAAACCAATGTCATGGAACACTTTACGTACGAACTACTGAATGGGAAACTAATTTGCTCTGTAATCTTTCACCTAGTGCACAATAGAAAAAAGAAAAAGAAAAAAAACAATTCATTTAGCAGTGCTGCTGGAAGAATCGTCATTGGACCTGAGGTAGAAGTTAAATTAACAGTTGAGAATTTATTAAGCCTCATCCAGCTTTCTGACCTGAATAGATTGTTCCTAAAGGAAAATTCGCCAGAGCACACTTAGATTAGTAAAGGCAGATGAGAACAAGGAGAAAAGAATGGTCAGAACGGACTCCTGAATGTTGGCTACCATGAGTCTTAGCATCGAGAGGCAGTGTGTTATGTAGCCAGAGCTCTGCAGTCCAGTGGTGGTGCTTCCACTGTCAGCCGTGAGTTGACAATTGATTTCTCTGGGCCTTAGTCTTCTCATCTGTGAAATGATGAGATTCATTATCATTTCACTTCCTTCGAAGTCTAAGTCACTGTTTCTAGAATGGAAAGGTTTCAGAGGTGAGTGAAGAGGAGAAATTGACTGTAAAAGAAAATAGGGTGGCACAGTGGTTAAGAGCTACAGCTGCTAACTAAAAGGTTGGCAGTTTGAGTCTACCAGCCGCTCCTTGGATACTCTGTGGGGCAGTTCTGCTCTGTCCCGTAGGGTCACTATGAGTCAAAGTCGACTTGACAGCAATGGGTTTGGTTCTATGTATATATACATATATATACACACATATGTATACATATATGTACAGTAGTTCAAACCGTTATCAATTTGTGGCCAGATTCCAGGGTAGAAGACGAAAGAATGAGAGATTGCTTGTGTTCCTTTAAAATAAAATATAAACACCCAGATACTGTATTTTTCTAAAAAAAAAAAAAAAAGTGCTTCTGATGACATATTTTACACTATTAATGTTTAAATAAGCCACTCATCTACTCAACAAATATTTATTGAGAACATATTATCTATAGCACCAAGCTCTATTGAATACAATAATCTGAATTGCCCTTAAAAATTATATACACGGAGTTGAGATGGCAAAATGAACAAAAGAATTGGACAGGGTACATTGATTTTTCTCTACCATTTTGGTTACTAAAGAAACAAACTGCAGTGAAACGTCTGCCTCAATGCTTCTTCCACGGGAGAAGCAGCACTATTTAAAGGATACCTGGATTCGAGTCTCACTCTGAATCTTCTCTTGAATGTGACCTTAGGCTCCCCATTTAAAGGTAAATGATAATTTCTACCTGGCTAACCTCATGGAAATGCTGTAGGAGAAACATGAGATAGGGTTGGATGTGAGCATATCGTCAACATTTAGGTCACTGGAATATTGACATTTTAAACTCAGTTCTCCTCAAGTGGCTATTTCCATCAACTTATATACCACTCAGGTTTATTAACTATTACCCTGTGGTTAGGATGAATTTAATCCTAAAATGTCTGTTTATTCCCTTTGGGGATCAAATTATTTGTAATACCAAAATAATGTCTCTACATTCTCATACGGGGGGAAATTAGAAGGCTTCTCCTAGAGAATGACCATCCATACAGTAAGGGGCAGTCATCTGTCCCCTGGGTGGCAGTAGATGGAGTCAGAGCGAGGGAGGGCGCATTTGGTTGTGATTGGTATTGCATCAGATGTGCAAAATGACTGTAAACACCATTGAGACAGAGACCATCTTCTCTTTTATCCTTGCCAACACCTAGCCTCCGGTAGGGGAGCAGGAAGTGCTGACATAAGTAACTTGGAGTGTTGAGGAATCCATAAAAGAACTTTAATGCTAAGTCCTCTCAGACTGCATTTGGAGTTTATAAGACAGACGTCGGGGTGGGGAGTTCCTGGTCACGTTGGCTCTGTTTTGCCGAGGCTGGTGGAGCCTGTGCTTTCTTATGCATCTCTGATCCCTGTCCTTCCCACGGTCATCTCCGAGACCAGTCTCTTATTATTGCCCACAGGGACGGCAGAGTAGTCCCTCCCTCTCCAGTCCACCTTAGGGTGTATCATTTTTTATTGTTTTTTTTTTTTTTTTTTTTTTGGGTTAAGCCAAAACAAAGCCTGTCTTATAGCATGTAGGAGAAGACTGATTTTTCTGAAAATAATTTTCTTTACTAAAAGGCTTGCTGGTCACTAGTTATAATTTCCTAATAACTTTACAGAAAAAAATAAAAGTTTATCCTGGGCCTTAGGTGCCCATGTTGTTTCAAGCCCTAGAAGGCATCTAAGGACAGAGTAGCTAGTGATTTGAGAGCTTTGGACTCATTTGTCCTTTACTGTCATCAACTCTGCAGGTCATGACTCCTACATTTATGATTTCTAAAAATGGCATATACCAGCAATAATAACCGATTTGAAATATATGTTTTAAAATGGCATTTGTAATAGCAATGAAGAATAAAATACTTAGAAATAATCTTAGCAAGCAACGTGTAGGACATAGTGAAGAAAGCTACCAAACATACTGAGACAAGGGAGAAAACTTGGAAAAATAAAGGGAGAGCAAGATTATGCTTGTTGCTCGGAGGACAGGACACTGCATGCTTCCGTCATCACCAAACCAATTCCTGGTTTTAACATAAGCTCGTTTGATAAATTTTATTGGAATTAGTAGCCATATTTTGGAAACTGTATCTGGAGAAATAAATTGACAATTTTTTAAAAAGAAGAGTAATGCCTGATACTGTATTAACATGTGGCTGTAATATATGGAACTCTTTGAAGAATAGACAGACAAATCAATTATAGAAGTGGATAAACCTAGAAAAGACTCTGTTACAAACCAGTATGTACTATCTGAGAAAGGAGGCAGCAAAGGGCTGTGGAATTTAAATGGACTGTTCCAAAACAGTTTTGGAAGAGTTGATTAGCTCTTTGAAAAATAATCAATTTACATTTTCAACTCCTTATAAAACTCCTTATCTATTAGAGTAAATTGCAGGGAGAGTCAAGAAGTATATTTCAACAATCTATAAAAACTAGAAAAAATTAAAGATGAGGCTATGTAGGATACAAAATTATATCTTCGTTTAGAAAAAAAATAAAGATTGGCTAGAAATAGCACAAAAATCCGTCATTTCCTCCATAATTTCTAGATTTTCTACAATATGCAGGAAGTATTTGGTTATCAGGGGTTTACTGTATGTCTGGGGATAAGGAGCCCTCGGCCTTAGTCCTACGTCTGCCATGATGTGGTGTAAGATCTTAAACAGCCACAATTCTCTTGGCATCTCAGTTTGCTGTGCAAATTGATGGGATTGGATCTTTAGGTCATTTCTAGATCTGACAGTTCTTTGATTCTCAGAGGGTTGTTGTCAGGATTGACGGAGTTAGTGGATTTGGTAGTATTGAAAAAAAAAACAAAAAGGACTCTTAAATGGAGCACAGTTATTTAATTGCAGTCCGAATTCTGGTGGTGGTAGTGCTTGTTCTTGTGATTTTAGGGGATAAGGTTCAACTAGCAAGTATCAGAGTAAGAAGCATTAGCAGTTGGCCAGTCATTTGTACGGCTATGATCTGCTCTGTCTGGCTGCCCGAGTTGCTGTGAAGATTAGACATAATTTCAGTGAAGGACCTGCCTCTGGTAGGTGCTTAACAAATGTCAGATTTAACACTGGATGCGGCTGAATCTTTTAAACTTAAGCATTTCTAAACTGGCCTCTCTAACTGTCTTTGACTTTAGTCATTAAAGAAGAAACTAATCACAGTGAAATGGCAGAAGACCTGTGCAAGATAGGATCAGAGAGATCCCTCGTGCTGGACAGACTAGCAAGTAACGTCGCCAAACGTAAGAGCTCTATGCCTCAGAAATTTGTTGGTAAGAGTTAAACGTTTGCTGTCTCTTAAAAAAAAAAAAAAAAACTAAGCATGTGTTGTAGACTTGAGTGATAATTAATTGAGGGTAGGAAAAAAGAGAAGAAATCTTATTTTTACAAAGTAGAAAGTGGTGAGCTTAACATTTCTTAAATATCTTAGAATTTTTTGCCCAACAAGTCTCTTAAAAATAAGAAATCTCAAACAGAAGCTGAGAGAGTTCATATCCACCAGACTGACCCTACAAAAAGTGCTACTGGAGTTCTGTAGATGGAAGGGAAAAGACACTAGAAAGTAATTCAAGCCTATACATTAAAAAAAGAAAAAAAAGAAAAAAAAATCCCTAATAAAGGGAAATCCATGGACAAGTATAAGGGCTAGTCATAAAGTATTCATGCTTGATAATTCTAAATGTTTTGTCCTTAATGTTTTTTAATAACAAATATATAAAAGGCAAGGATAAATTTGTTATAGGGCACATGAAATGTAAAGATGTCATTAGTGATAACAACAAAAGTGGGGGAGGAATGACATAGATACAGGATCTCTTGTATGTTACTGAAGTTAAGTTGGTAACAACTTACCCTAGAATGTTATAAATACAAGCTCTTCAATGAAATATTCATGGTAACCACTAAAAAAATATATAAAAAACATAACACAAAAGGAAAGGAGAAGGGAAACAAAAAGGCTCACTACAGTAAACCAACAAAACACAAAAGCAAGCAGTACTAAAGGACAACGACAAAGAAGGCTTAAGGCACACAAAAAACAAATAACAAAATTGTAGAAGCCACTTCTTATCAGTAATTACAGTGAATATAAATGGACTAAATGCTCCAATCAAAAGGCAGAAAGTGACAGGATGGATTAAAAAACGTGATCTCCAACTAAATGCTGTTTACAAGAGACACACCTTAAACCCAAGGACACAAATAGGTTGAAAGTGAAAGGATGGGAAAAAATATTCCATGCAAATAATAACCAAAAGAGAGCTGGGATAGCAATCTTAATATCATACAAAGTAGACTATAAGACAAAATCTGTCAGAAGAGATAAAGATGTACCTTATATAGTGATAAAAGGGTCAGTTAATCAAGAAGATTTAACAATGACAGATATATATGCACTTGATATCGGGGCACCTAAATACATAAAACAAATACTGATGGAATTGAAGGGAAAAATAGATAGTACTGTAATAACAGATATAGACTTCAATACACCATTTCAGTATTGAACAGAATATCTAGAAAGAAGATCAACAAGGAAACAGAGGACCTGAATAACACTATAAACTAACTAGACTTAACAGACATATATAGAACACTCCACCCCAAAACAGCATGGTATACATTCTACTCCAGTGTACATGGATCATTCTCCAGGATAGACCACATTTTAGGTCACAAAGCAAGTCTTGATAAATTTAAAAAGATTGAAATAATACAGAGTATTTTCTCTGACCACAACGGAATGAAGCTAGAAATCAGTAACAGAAAAAAACCCTGAAAATACACAAACATAGGGAAATTAAACAACACATTATTAAACTACCAATGAGTCAAGGAAGACATCAAAAGAGAAATCACACATTTCTTAGAGTCAAATGAAAATGAAAACACAACATACCAAATACATATGGGATGCAGCAAAGGCAGTACTCAGAGGGAATCTTACAGCAATAAAGGCCTACATAAAAAAAGAAAGAAGATCTCAAATTAACAGCCTAACTTGACACTTCCAGGAACTAGACAGAGAAGAACAAACTAAGGCTAAACCTACCAGAAGAAGGGAAATAACAAAGATCAGATCATAAATAAATAAAATCGGAAACAGAAAAAGAATGGAGAGAATCAATAAGACAAGAAGTTGGTGCTTTGAAAAGATAAATAAAATTGACAAACTTTTAGCTAGAGTGACAAAGAAAAGAAAAGATGCAAATAACCAAAATAAAAAAATGAAAGGGGATATTACAACTGACCCAATAGGAATAAAGAGAATTAGGACAGAATATTATGAAAAACTATATGGCAACAAACTGGATAACCTATAAGAAATTGAAAAATTCTTAGAAGAACACAACCTACCTAAACTGACTCAAGAGGAGATAGAAAGTCTCAATAGACCCATAACAAGTGAAGAGATAAAAGTCAGTGATCAAAAACCTCCCAACAAAAAAAAAGTCCTGGATTAGATGGCTTCACTGGGAAATTCCACCAAACATTTAAAGAAGAATTGACATAAATACTGTTTAAACTCTTCCAAAAGATAGAGAAGGAAAAAATACTTCCTAATTCATTCTGTGAAGCAAACATAACCCTAATACTAAAACCAGACAAAGATACCACAAGAAAAGAAAACTACAGGCCAGTTATCTCTTATGAATACAGATGCTAAACTCTCAAGAAAATACTAGTGAAGAGAATCTAACAGCATATTAAAAGTCATACACCATGACCAAGTGAGATTTATTCCAGGAATGCGGGGATGATTCAACATTAGAAAATCAATCAACATAATATACCACATCAATAGAACAGAGGAGAAGAACCACATGATCGCCTCTATGGATGCAGAAAAAGCATGTGATAAAATCCAACACCCTTTCTTGATGAAAACCCTAAAGAGGCTTGGAATAGAAAGGAAATTCCTCAGTATGATTCAGGGCATGTATAAAAAGCCAGCAGCCAACATTATACAGCTGCTCCTCATTTATCAACTATCTTGTTATCTGACATTGAGCATTTACGACAATAATAAAAAATTTACTATTCAACTATTTTGTACATTAATGATGTACATCTAGCAGTAGTGAATGGCAAGATGTAACGTGAGAGTAACAGGCTGTAATGGTTAAGGTTATGTGTCAGCTTGGCCAGACCATGATTCTCGGTGGTTTGGCAGTTATGTAATGATATAATTTGGCACTTACTTAATGCTATAACTGTTCTCCATTTTATGATCTGATGTGGTCAACTTCCATTTTTGCATAATGCCCATTTTCACATAAAAACCTGGTCTTTGTAACCTAACCATGTCAATAAGTGAGGAGTGGGTGTACTTAATGGAGAAAGACAAGAGCGTTCCCCTTGAAATTGAGAACAAGACAGAGGTGCCCACTCTTACCAGTTCTATTCAGTACTGTATCAGAAGTTCTAGCCAGAGCCATAAGACAAGAAAAAGAAACAAAAGGTATCCAGATTGGAAAAGAAGAAGTAAAATTATCTCTATTTGTGGCTGATATGATCCTATATGTAGAAAATCCCAAAAAGACCACAAGAAAACTTAACAGAACCAATAGAGGAATTTAGAGTTGTAAGGTACAAGGTCAACAAACAAAAATCAGTTGGATTTCTATACACCAGCAATGAGAAATCTGAAAGGGAAGCTGGGGAAACAATTCAATTTACAATAGCATCTAAATGGATAAGATACCTAAGAGTAAATCTAACCACGGACATGAAGGTCTTATACAATGAAAACTATAAAACACTGCTGAAAGAGATTAAAGAAGACTTAAATACCTGGAAAGATGTTCCATGTTCATGGATTGGAAGACTTAATATTATTAAGATGTCAATACCACCTAAAGCAATCTATAGATTCAGTGAAATCCCAATCAAAATTTCAACAGCCTTCTAGAAAACAGAAAAACCAATCCTCAACTTTATATGGAATGGCAAGAGGTGAGGCCCTGAATAGCTAAAACAGTGCTGAAAGAGAAGAACAAAGTAGGAGGACTCACACTTCCTGATTTTAAAACTATACCGCTACAGTAATCAAAACAGCCTGATAGTGGTATAACAGTGGACACATAGACCAATGGAATAGAATTGAGAGTCCAGAAATAAACCCACACATCTGTGGTCAGCTGATTTTTTACAAGGGCAGTAAGTCCATTCAATGGGGAAAGAAGAGTCTCCTCAATAAATAGTGCTGGGAAAATTGGCTTTCCACATGTAGAAAAATGAAACAGGATCCATGCCTCACAGCATACACAAAAACAAATTCAAAATGTATTAAGGACCTAAATGTGTAAACTAAAACCATAAAACCCTTAGAACTAGCAGAGGCAATGCTGTCAGGCCTAGTGTCTTAGTTATCTAGTGCTGCTATAACAGAAATACCACAAGTGGATGGCTTTAACAAAGACAAATTTATTCTCTCACAGTCTAGGAGGCTAGAAGTCCAAATTCAGAGTGTCAGCTCCAGGGGAAGCCTTTCTCTGTCTGTTGTCTCTGGGGGAAGGTCCTACCATATGACCCAGCAATTCCACTTCTAGGTATATACCCAAAAGACTTGAAAGCAGACACTCAAAAAGAGGCTTGTACACCAGTGTTCACTGTAGCACTATTCACAATAACCAAAAGGTGGAAACAACCTAAATGCCCATCAATAGATGAATGGATAAACAAAATGTGGTACACACATACAATGGAATACCACTCAACCAGTAGAAGTCTTGATACATGCTACAGCATGGATGGAGCTTGAAGACATTATGCTGTGTGAAATAAGCCAATCACAAAAGGACAAATATTGTATTACCTCACTTATATAAAAAGATAAGAAAAGGCAAATATATAGAGACCAAAGTTTATTAGTGGTTACCAGGGGTGGGAGGGAGAGGGAAAAGGGGAGTTAATGGTAATAAAAAAAAAAAAGTATAGAGTTGCACAGCCAATTATTTTTGTTGCTGTAAATAAGTTGCACCCCTGTAAAAGTTGAATTGGAGAAAGTTGTGTGGTAGATATATTTACAACAACGACAAAAAAAAAAAAAAAAAAAAGATGCTGAGACTGCTTATGTACAACCAAACACTTCATGTTATTTAGTTCCTTGGTTTGGAAGTATAGGGTCATGGTTTCATGGGACATTCCAGTTAATTGACCTAATAGCATGTTTAATGCTTCTGTTCTACCTCCTAGCTCCTTACATAGTGCCTGGGGTCTTAAAAGCTTGCAAGTCGCTATCCAAGGCACAACAGTTGGTCTCTATTTG